GAGCTCGCCCTTGATGTCGCGCTGCGCGTACGGCAGCGCCGGGAACGTCATCTGGCTCCAGTACTCGTCGAAGCCCGCGGCCTCCTTGTCGGACGAGACGAAGAGGATCTCGACGTCTTCATGGTCCTCGACGAGGTCTTCGTAAAAGGTCGAGAGGAGCGGCGTAAAGGCGCGGCAGGGCGGGCACCAGTGGGCCGAGAAGTAGATGCCCACGACCTTGGTGTTGGCGAGCGCCTCCGTCGTCGGGACGATCCCGCCCTTGGTCTGGATCTCGTTGCCGAAGAGCGAAGCAAAGTAAGACATGGTGTCGCGTCGGTGGCAAATTTGGCAATGGCGCTCGTCGCGCAGCCTTTCTGTGGCAGAGGTCAGCTGTACGGTATTGTACGATCCGTATGGTAAGTACGAGATGTACGTACGGCGGCCCGCCGATTTCGGCAGGCGTCCAGGTCTCGAGCATGGGTCTCGAGAGCCCGCCAGCAGGGAGGCCTCCATGCGAGCAAGCACGCATTCCGTCCAACATGATTCCTCCAGCGAAATCACGAAGAAAGAGATGTCTCTGGTTCGTTGCTGTCTCCCATGACTCGTGGCCCGAATGGATTTAGCGAGTTTAGCAGTGTCATCAAAGTTTAGTTCGTTTAATTAAATGTTCTGTCAATCTCTAGTCGGTCCATTCCTTGTCGATGGCAATGCCGACGTAGGTAGGAAAGCGCGGGATGCCGGCGGCCGTGAGCTCTTGGAACCGATATGTGATGATCGTGCCAATCGCAGGCGGGTGCTCGCGCAGCTTGTCGTTGAGGCCGGATCCGACCTTGAAGCTCTTGCCCGATCGACTCACACATTTCAAGCTGCCTGTGCGGCCCTTGTGCTTGCCTTGGCCGGGCTCGTAGCCGACGATTTTGGCCTCGTCGTCCGAGAAGCTCTTGACTTTAAGGAGCGACGTCGAGCGCGCGCCGACGTACTTGGAGCCTGGCTGGCGCAGCATGAGCCCTTCCGCACCGAGCGCCTCGACGCGCGCGAGCTCGGTCGTCATGGCGGCAACGGACGCGCACGCGACGTGGTCGACGACCGTCACATACGGCGTCTTGGCCAAGTGCGTGCGGAGGTATTCGTAGCGCGCTTCGAACGGCTGGTCCTTCAGGCTCGGGATATCAAACACCATGAACGTGAGCGACGCCCAGTTCTTCGCGTTGTCTGGGTGGCCGTTCTTGACGATGCTGATCGTGGCTTCGAACTGCTTGCGCCCAAGGAAGAGCTCGCCGTCGAGGTGCTGGTCCTTTGGGAGGTGCTGCGTAAAGTACGCGGGGGCTGGAAACGGGTTCCCAAGCCGACTCAGAAACGTCGACCCGTTCCAGTAGCCGCGGACGCCGTCGAATTTCTCGCTCATGAACCACCCAGTGATGTCATTCCCGTCTTCGTACTTCTGCGCGAGGAGTACCTTGGGCGCGGGCCCTTTCTTGATTGGCGACGAGTTGCTTTTGGATTTGGAACCCGTCGTCGGCAGGCAGCCTTGGGTGCGCCAGGCCTCGAACGCGTCGCCAAGCACCTCGCGCAGATGTTTGCACGTGCGAATCGCACCCGCTTGGTGCTGCATCTTCCACGCCATGCACGTGCAGTAGTAGACGCCGTTGCGCAGACGCACTTCGTACGTGCCGTGCCCGCCTTGGATCTCGACCGCATCGCCTTCGGCCAAAACACGCTTGGGCGTCGGCGTCTCGGACGGCGCGTCATCGCCAAAGAGGGCTTCGTATTGCGCGGCCATGAGCGTCGAGAAAAAATCATACGTGACGGTCGTCGCGTCGCCGGTCGCGAGATCCGAGCTACAATCGAGGTGAGTTTTAGGTTGTCCAGTGTTTTTGAGCGAATTTCGTGAAATATTGTCCAGCGAATTTCGTGAAACATACATACATGGGGGGTTTGGAGGAGACAATGTGGGTGACTGTTGCATCGTGCTGCGCGACGTGCGCACCGCCGTGCTCGAGAAGAAACCGGACGCAGTCGTCCTTGGTGACGGCGCCGGGCGGCCCGTGGAAGTAAAACACCATGTTTGCGAGGCACGCAGCGTGATACGCGACCGCCGTCGCCTTGTGTCGCTTGGCGGTCGGGAGGAAATCTTCGCCGACGACGGTAATGCCTCGCTTCCGCGCCGTCTCGAGCTTGGTCGACTTGGCCGTCGGGTCGTTTGTGACGAGGTGCGTGACCTCCTTCGTGACGGCGGTCGCGAAGACGCCACCGTTCGCCTCCACGAGCGACTGGACGTCGGCGCGCGTGCCCAGAGAGAGCTTTCCCGTGATTGCAATGACGTGGCCTGTCAAGCTCATCGCAAATTCTAATTTGCCCAGCTTACGTTTCGTGGGTTGTGCTCAGAATGATGGTCTGACGACCAGCACTCGCTATGGGAACCATCACTCGGGCCGTGCACAGGATTGATCTCTGGACAAGAGACCCGTGATGCACTTGCACGTAGGGATGCGTTGCCAGCGACGTGGTCGATTTTAACGACACCGTGTCTGTGCTGAGATACGAGCGTGTTGCAATGGTTTAGCGATCCAATGTGCGAGGCTTTGCACAGCATTAACACCACGCTTCAATGTTGAGTGTGTGGCATACGATTCCATAATAGCGGAGGAATGCGCACGCACGAAATAGCTTGCCAGGAATGCATAAAATAGGAATGCGTCGCCTATACCCACATATTGTGGAACATAAAAAAGATACGATAAAAAGTACTCGACGCGGGACTCGAACCCGCAACCCCCAGATTCGAAGTCTGATACGCTATCCATTGCGCCAGCCGAGCTTGTATATTATCATTTCAGAAATTATAAATTCATATATTTATAAATTCTACGGCATGAGGCCACAGTATAGCAGAAGCCGCTGCATGTACGATTGGACCGCTGGAACTATACACTGATTACATCCTGCTACCTAAAGCATACAAAGATCGACCAAAATGATGTTTGAAAATGAACTCGACCATACTCGCCAGAGCTCTAGAAGGTACTCTGTTGTGTCGAAAATGCTAGGTGAAGTCGCCGTGCGAGCTCTGTAGCGAGAGCAAATGACAGCGGCAAAACACTAGTTTGATATAGTGTGCTTTTTCGCTATACCGAAATACTGTACGGGATACAAGGCCTCATCACGCAGCGGTATCGCGCGCACTTTGCCTCTCTCGGCCACATGCAACACGCTCTCTAACACGGACGAAAAGAGACGGCGTCCTCGGTTTCCGCGACTTCGATGCATTTTCCACCGAAATTACATGTCGTATTTCGTGAAAACCGACGCTCGGGAGTTCGAGTTTGGTGTGGGTGCCCAAGCAACGACGGCGACCAACAAACTGGTCGCAGCCGAGGTCAAGATCCGTCGCCAACTGTGGCAGCGGGTTCCAGAGTTCTTGGAGCTATGGAACCCCACGATGTCACGTGACGTATTTGGGCAATTCTGCCACCACCTCGAAAAATGAAAAATGGATGAAAGAAGGCATCGACGACTCAGTTACTCAGCTTTTTGGTCACAGTGCTCGAGTTCAAGGGATAGTGTATTGTCCATACTTGTTTTTGGGAACGAATTTGCTAGTGGCAACAATAAGGCTGAATTGATAGTTCAATACTCACAGACATATCAGCGATCTGAATACATAACAGTATTTCAAGATGATGTATTTTAAATGGTGTGAGCACCACCACCTCAACCACGATCGACGCCACACAGACGCGTTAACGCGAGGCCGCACCGGTTCCTGTCGCTCTATAGCATCCCAGTATCATGGAGATGAAGGTTTGGACGCCGAACGCAGCGCATGCATGCGAATTCCAACGTTGATTTTTCGAGGTGGTCAAATATACGCCCAGATGCACAACTTGTTTTCGCGCAGTTCGGAAACTCGACCGACTCCGACGCGGGCAGCCACAGTTGGCTATGTATATGGACTGGCCCAGCGACTTGCGTTTGGGACGTGGTAGGCGCTTGGACTCTCACAGCAAAGTCGTACTGCCGAGCGTCATTTTTCGCCGACTTGTACATAGCAATTCGAGTAAAAATGTTGAATTTTCGCAAACTCCGAGAGCGCTATCTCTCTTACATGGTATCGGAGAGCATGTTACATTGACGATAGTGGTTCTAGAGTCCGCTACAACGCCTCTAGCATTTTAATATACTATTTGAAT